TTCTTCGATGAGAAACAGGAAGATATCTCCTTAAGCTATTGGCCAAAATATGGCCTAACCTAATTGTAATATTTTTGGTGCAGATCCAGGAGTCCTGCAACACTTTCTTTATCATTGAAAGATATTCCATTTTGTTTTTCAAAGTTTTGACCTTTCCAGGGAATAATGCATGGATCTGGCTTTGGTAAATGTATGTGCTCTACTACTTGCTATTGTAGTTTGATTATAAGCAGGATTACACAAAAACTACCACAAAACTTTGTGGGAGGATGTGGTATAGGTCAGCGACATTTTTACTGATATCCCAGTGAATAATTAATGTTTCTAGACGAAAACATGTTCTCGCAGGTTTAGGGGAACTGATATTGATTCCTATGGCGGGGGTGTCATAACTAACAGAGTATATTCACTGAAGTGTGAGGTTGAAAGTGCTGCTTCAGAAAGTTCTCCGTCTCCATCCTGTTGTTTCTTCACATTAAGAGTGATTGAATTACCCCACATGAACCCTCACATTAAAGAAGTATAGGAATGCATTGTGCTGTAAATAATAGATATTCAAGAGAAACATTTTTAAGCTGATGGCACTATCCTTACACTTACTTTTTACCTGATGGGTTCAGTATCCTTCATTCCTCAAAGTATGAAGATAGCTTTGGAATAGCATTGAGACAACTGCAAATAAAACCGTCATTTTCTATTTCACCATGCAGTCCATAACATCCTTATAACTTCTGACAACTTCCTGACTGTAGGAAAGAAGAGCCCCCTCAGTTTATCCTATGCAGCACTTACAATAACAATAAGGGCTTTCTTGTTCTTATTCAATTTGGAAAAAACATGAATTGTGTTGATATGAAGAAAAAAACAGTAAAGGAACTAGTAGATTTGAATAATACAGTAAATTAATTAAATCAGCATTTAAAACTAGTACCAAAGTATTTTTGAAAATATGATTGCAGAAGTGGAACTGCAGTAATATTATACTTCATCTTTTTGTCCTGCATCATAATGAGGCCATTGTTCATGCACCTGTATTTCTACTGGAGCTCCACATGACGGTGGTACAGGAGAAAGTGTCCGTGTTTGCTGTCTCTGTCTGTGGCCTCCTCCTCCTCCTCCTCCGCAGCTGCTGCTAACGGCCCCTTTAAGAAATCGGCGCCGAGCTCTGACGGAACTTCCTCGGCCTCGGCTCGTCTGTCTCCTCGGCCTCTGCCCGTTTCTCCTCGGGAGTCAACACGAGAAGCACCAACCTGCAAGAGCTGCCCCGCGGACCTCTGCTGCCCTCCGGGGAAGAAGAAGAAGTGAGGGTGGACGCAACTGGTATTTTTTTGTTCATTTCTGTGTGTCGGTGTCACTGCTGGAGCCGAAGCGGGAGGCGAAGCTTCGCTAAGCGGGCACAGAGGAGCGGGCACCGCGGGGATGGACGGACGCGGCGAGCGGTCGTCGCCGTGAGACAGGCGCTAATCCGGCGGTGCTGAGCAGCAGGTGTACGGAAGGATAAACGGAGACTAACGGCAATCTCAGTGTTCATGAAACTTTGCTACGATTTACGTGATGGGTAAGAAGAACGTTTCCCATTTACTCCATCTTGTAACAACATTTAAATGCCATTTAATTTAAGATTAAATGAAGGCTGCTCTTTTATATCATCCGCGGTGCTTTCAGGGTCATGTCTCCTTGTGTTTCCTTGTTACAGACATAAAACCATGTCCCACCATCTTTAAACTATTCACTCGAGGCCTAATTCAAATGTTAACTGAGAACCATGAATGAAGCAAATAATATCAGGGACATATTTATATCCAACACTGTGGTTTGGCCCAGTTAACATCAAACTGAACCAATGTGTGATAGTCTTTATTTTTATTTTATGTCCTTTAAAAGCTCAATTTTCTGTGTTTTTAATCCCAAAACATCAACAACTCAACAACTCTGTCCCTGAATAATGATACAGTAGAGCTACTGTTGCGTTTTCATGTGTTTAGATACATTCTCAGGCAGACATTGTGGCAGCATTTCATTCACATTCAGAGGAAATGACTTAGAAACTGAATCTGTGATCTATCAGGGGATGATAAGAGACATTTGATTGTAATTGAATGTTTGGTAAAGTTAATTAATGTACCTGAAAGTGCTGCTGTGGTGAGTTCACAGACAGGGAGAAGTTTTACTGTTCTCAATCCCCATTCATATTCTGTGTGTAAGTGGGGGACACTGGGTTTTGTTTAGTGTTTTAGTGTCCCTGAGCTGATTCCACTGTGTTCACCTCACACAGGTCGAATCTGATCGCACTTTGGCCCCGAGTCACAGATGTCCAAATCGAGAGACGGGGCAAATTGACCAGTTTTTGAGAGAGAATTGATTGTGGATATCCTTGTTTATATAACTGCATGGTGGAGTGATAGCAGCAGGGTTGGGGTGGATGCTGCACAACTGGCACAGTTAGAGGACGACAGCAATCGTGTGTTTTAATGCTGTCGCCACTAAATGTGTAGAAAAAGATTGTGCATGTGAATATGCAGAATCTGTTGTCGAGGGCCAGAGCCTTCTGGTTTCCTCTTCTACTTTGTGTGGAGAAACGTGATTAAAGAACAGAGTGTATACAGTGTACGAGAAACAGAAGAGTGAGACTTGGCCCTGATTTGTGCTGTCTAAGGAGGCCCCAAAATATTGGCTGTTGCCCCAAAGGTTAATTCGTCACCACGTGATTGCTGATGTTCTATGAGATGGGTTTTCTCTATACTCTCATTAGCTGCTTTCAGAGATGAAGTGCAGACATTTTGCGCCGGACATTTTCCACAACCTTTCCTGCAAGCCCCCTAAAATATCAGAGTGAGCCCATGTGATAACACAGTAGGAAAATTACCTGGGCATTCCCCTGCTGCAGTTTACATATGTCAAAGGCAAACTCCGAAAACAAAATGTTTGGACCCAATTTTCAAGGCATTTTCTGGAGATCATTCTTAAATCTGTCTATGTAGGGTGTTGAGCAGGCGACTCAGGCCTCAGCTGCAGACTTTAAAATGTTTTTACAATACAGATAATTCATGTGACTTATAATGTCAAAAGCACAATCTGAGGAGTAGCATTTTAAAGCTACAATGACTTTGGAAAATGCAATACCAAAACTGACTTTCATTTTTGTTCACTCAACAACAGGCTGCCCAGAGGGTTACATTAGTGGGCTAGATAAAAGCCAGTGCATTCTTCTTGTTTCGACCCTTTCTTTATTTCTCTTTTCTCCAAATTTGTTGACCGACTCCACTCGCACATGTTTCTCTTCGCTTGTTTAGCCTCCGACTACAAACAGAGTGTAATAGGTCTAATTAAAGTCCATCAAATCTGCACTCTCCTCCCTTCCTCCTGCTCCGTCCCCAGGGTTGACATCAAATAAAAAAGAAGTGGCTTGATGAAAATATTTATAAGACAAGTTTGCGTCAAGCTTGGGATTGTGCTCCAGCTTAATAGGAACGCGAATCTTCCCAACTGATTTGGATTTTGGCAGAATTTGGGCAGTTTGGTGAAGTGATACAATGATTGCTGATTTAAAAATGTTAATCTTTTTGTTCTGGCACCAGGCAGCGTACTTGACCCTCTGTCAGCATTAAAATGACCTGAGGAAAGGTTGCAGCTGTTCAATGGAATATTTTGTTTAGTGCCGACAGATGAGATATTTGAGGGTGGTCATGTTTAACCTCTTTTGTTGAGTTTGAGTGCCTTTAAAAAAATAAATAAAAAAAAAATAAAAGTTGTGATAAGCTCCACAGATGAGTGTCTTCCTATCCTCAGCCTTGTTTCTACAGAAATCAAGCACCATAGCTGATGATGATGACGATGATGACAACCTAATGTGGTTTTACACAGCACATTTTCCTGAGAACACCTGTAAAAGGAAACAAGCTATCTCAAGTGGAAACACTACACTGTGGCATTTCCGTCTAACAAGTAGTTATTGTCAAACTCTGAGTCATTGTGAAATGAAACCTGACTGCTTAATGTCCCAGAAAATGCACTTTCATAGAAAGGGGCCTACTTGTGCGAGTCCTGCAGCCTCTTTTGTATTCAACAGTATGTGTCTGTTTGAGTGCATCCACTCTCACCTCATGTGACTATGGCATGGCAGCTTATTTAGAAGTGATGGAGCGATAGCAATGTTCTTGAATAGATATGAAAGTCTGAGTGTGTTGGTGTATAGCTGAGAACATGTAGGTTTGCTTGCCAACCATTTGGTCCACATAATAAATCAAGGAAGAAAAAAGGAAAGGACCTGACAAAGATCCCAGTCTGGATCGAAATGTTGTTTAATTAAATTTTCTGTGGCACGGAGTAGCATAAGTCTCTTTTTTAGTTTTTGTTTGAGAACATAATAAATCAAACAAATGGATACTGAGATTAAAACATCTAAAATGGCTGTGACTCAGTTGAGCAGATACCTTCGCCAAGACCTAAAATGCTGCTTAAATTCAGCATCAAATGCATCATGTTTGGACATAGTTTAAAAAAAAAATCTCACCCTATGAAACCACATCAGCGTGATTTTGTTGTCTCACCAACTTCCCACAATTACTTTAAATATTACACCCTTAAATTCAGTTCATCAGATTAATGTTTATTTTATGTTATAATGCTGCAATATATTTCAGTCCCGTTGACTTGGCAACATTTTACACACAGTTCAGATATTTGATGTTAGATGTTTGCTGTTTGTGCAAACAACAGGGACAAGCGGTACATTGTGTTTGCTGCAGCCTGTTTACAAAAGTAATCCCATGTTTTTGCCAGTTGAACGTAAATGTAATGCAACAGTAGTCGGATGTTACACAGCTCTGATACAGTGTTAAGAGGTGAACAGTAAACAGTGAGGCGGATGCCGATGAGATGAAATCAAGCTGGATTACATAATGGATTGTTTCCTTTCCAGTTTGAACTCAGCTCAGTGATGACAGGCACTGTATCTATCAATGAAGACAAAACATAGAGGTTACATTATGTAAGTAAATGACTTGTAGAAAAATGTTGCTTACCCTTACCATAAACCTAAGGAGTATAACTTTCTATGGTATCTTATTTTACAACAGTGCAGATTTTAATGTTTCTTTAATGGTAGTTTTGCATTAAATATTAACCATAGAAAATGCTGATTGTTTTCTCGATCCATCACTTGGTGCAGCAGAAAGCAATGAAGACAAAAAACATTCACAATTCCCCATAGGACAAGGTAATTCTGGGTATTATTGTGGGTTCCTCTAATGGTGTTGTGCTGCACGAGTGTGGGTTTTTATTGCATTTTCAGTCTCGGTTTAAGCTCTGCCACACCCCCAAAATGTGAACTCGCTGTGATTCTGTAATAAAATTGAAAAACACTGATGTAGGGCGAAAGGCACGAGTCTCTCCCTCTCCCCCCCTCCCTCCCTTCACTATAACACCCTGAGATCCATGTATGACTGTGATTGGCTGTTCCTATGAGTGTGACCTGTTTGACCAAGAGTAACCTCCAGATACTACTGGTCATTAGCAAGAGATTTACTCACACACAGTATATTCACTTGTACAGGGGCTTGTAAAGCGACTCACGCTTGACTAATGTATGCTGTTATAAACAACCTCTCTCAGCCTTGCTGTATGTGTTGCTACAATGTTATTTTGTGTCATATATGTGTGTGTGTGTGTGTGTGTGTGTGTGTGGTTATATTTTATGAGTGCACTGTGAGCCTCCCCCCCAGCCAGTGTAAGACTTACGATTAGGTAAAAGGTGCATGGAGGCGTCTTTGTGCTTGTACTCAGCCGAGCAAATGACTCACATAGTTGTTTGTCTGTTCACCACAGTAACATTCACAGTGATCAGACCTTGTGCTCCTCCTCCTCCTTTTTCTCCTCTTTCCATTTCTGAAGAAAATGTGGTTGCAACAGCCTATATGAACTGGAGAAAGAAGTCTTCTAAAAGGGAATGAATAAGAAATGGTTTAATGATATTAGCACTTATTAACAGATTTTCAATAGAACTCTGAATATAAATGTCTATTCCTGAGGTTGTTTTGGAACTAGTGTATCTGCATCTGATGCTTTCATTTGACACCAGTATTATGGGAAGATTTGATAGTAAGTGACCATGAGTAGTTTGGGTTTACAAGTGACCAACATACATGCAGCAGCCTGTAAGTGGATGTTGGTGGTTATTGTGAGAACATACTTCACAGTTGCAGGTGGCATGACGTGAGGGAGTAAGTGTTTATTAACCTGCCACTCACCATGTTTCCACTCACCCCCTCTGGGATGAAAGATCAACCCACCAGTCACCGCTGCAATTTCCACTTACCTGAGCCCATGATGTTGGGTTGTTGTTCCTGTGTGAAAATCCAATATCCCAACCTATTGTTGCCTGTGTGCCTGTTTACTTGTCGGAGGATCTGGTGTAGTCCCTTTCAGTGGAATGTGTGGAGACAAGAGATGCAAGGAAATTGGAATTGACAAAGCGTTTGTGGACAAATTGGGTTTGCATAGATAGTTCTGCCCAGTTAATAAGGGAAATAGTCTGGTTAAATATTAGTCTGTGCATGTTTCCCCTTAAAGTGTTTGTCTTCATTTATTTTGTACACATACATGGTACATAATTAACATGTGGAGAAATGTAGTAGCCTAAATGGTGATTATGTAAACACAGAACAATTAGCATCTAAGTGCAATAGCAAATTATAACGGACATGTTTTGGCATTATAATATTTTTCGCAGCTGTGGTTTTCCTGTATCATTTATTGGAAAACTTGCTTTGATAGAACTACAATCATTCCATTATATGATTTCTCTATTTTTGTCACTTGTATTTTGCTCAAAAAAGCCTTTGGCAAACAACTTGTTGGACCTTTGACCTCTTTTCTTTGCAGAATTGGTAGTTTAAACAAACAGTATGGCCTGAGGACAGGACTTTGTGAAGGCCATCACAAGAGCTTAATTTTCTCTTGGTGAAGACATTCCAAATCCTTTTGTGGTTTTTCTTTAGGGTCATTATCCTACTGGAACACCCAGATTACAGATCTCTTTTGTACGCTATCATTGTAGATCTGACTGTAAAAGCATTGGGAGGGGGGTGTTACAGGAATTATGGGCCGCGTTACCAGGTGATTCAGCATTGACATGTTTTTACTGAAGTAAAGCTCTCATCCAAATTTGAATTACCTGGTATCACAACTCCTAAGTCCCATAACATCTGCAATCTCTTGCTTGTTTCCTCTTAGGATGTGCACTGATCTCAAGGCCTCTGTGTTTCAAATGACTGGAGTAGGTCATGGCAAGATGGAACGTCAGTCCCTGTGTCTGTGAAATGTCAGAGCATTTTCAAAATGCTTGTTATAGTTTTTTTCATGTATCAACACAAGAAAATAAAAAAATCATCACATTTAAGAAATTAGATCCATTGAAGTTTTAGGAAGGAAGTTGAGAGGCAAAATAAGATCATTGGAAGTGATGGCGGACCAGATTAATTCCTTTCTGAGAAATGACAGTAGCGACGTACACGTCCCCCACATTAACACAAAAAGAAAGTGAGTGGTTGACTTTACTTTCGTTAATATATTAAGCCCAAACCTTTAGGAACGCATAGTCATTGAGAAAGTTGTGCCTGTGGGAGTTGGCATTTAGACAACTGAGTTGCAAAACAACAGTTTGTTGAGTTTTCAGTTTGACAGTTTGTCATCCAGTCAAACAGATTAGGTAATCTCTAAGGATTACAACTAGAAGAACTACACTTAATCTCTTCCCAAATGACAGACCCCAGCAGTCAAATACAACGCAGTCATGTTTACTAGATGTTCTGTGGCTCCCTGGTCAGCTGCTGGAAAGGGTGATGGATCATTGTGAGAATTGTTTTGACATACTGCATTGAAACGGATCAGGAAGAACCCCATAGAGGAGTAGTACTATGGGCCAATCTCACTTTTTTGTTCACTCAGCACTTTTCATTCAAAGAGTGACCTTAATGCAGCTCAGGGTTAGGAAGGTCAACAATTACTAAACGGGCACTTAATAGAT